TTTTTATCGCATACTGTAATGTGCAATCAGTCGTTATGTGATCTCTCACTTATATTAATATTATGCTATTATATATATTACATTACATTATTTTCACCTTTTTTAATGATGTAAACTGAGGGGAGCAAAAGTAGAATCGGCTCCAAATATCGCTCAAGAAAATCTGCCAGTCCGTCTCAGTGTATGTGCACTGGTGTCTTCAAGTTTCTACATCACACTTGTATAAATAGCATACTGGGATTGCATACCAGCTTGTGACAAATCACAAATCATGCTCGTAGGCCCCGCTCCTTAATATCAGATTGTCAATTAGGACATTCAAGGAACTTTTCACTTTCAGCAGATGAATGGGAAACGCATACATCATTTGAAGCTCAAACATCCAACTGTAGGAACAAGAAGAAAAACATGTTTTTGAGTGGAGATTACTATGAGTTAAACTGATTTAAAACAAACATAAATAAGAAGAATAAATATTCAAGAAGTTTAGAAAGAAAGAAAGAAGAAAAAGCCTCTTCCCTCAGGCCATCAGGATGGTGAACTCTGTCATCTGTACAGTATATCCTCCGCCTTGCCTAACACATGACAGTACTGTATTGAACCAAACTTCTGGTCAGTTTTTATCCCAGTAATTTCATTATTTATTATTCTTTATTGCATACTAGCCTGTTTAGCACAGCCTAGACCACCCTGCATTTGACTGCACACATTGAATGAACATGCAACAAATAGAACCTTCTTGAATCTTGAATACATCCTACCTTGTTTTCCTTTAGTTAAGCGGCACATGTAGGATAATGCACTGTGAGGTTCCATATGTACAAAAAAAATGGCTGAGGCAGAAAAACACAACAAAACCAAAGGTGTTCCGTTTCCACTGGCTTTCTCTTTTTCAGGACTTCTTGTCATGTGTAATTACATAAAATGTAGCACACATTACATGCTTGATAGAAATGTCCTTGTTTCAGTTGTTATTATGCATACAGTAGTACTCTAAACCTCAAAGATCCAAAGTAATTAGAATACAGTACCGGATTGATATACTGGTTTATTATCGATAGTAACTAGACATTTGTAACAGCAACTGATTCCGCTAGATATAGATTGAGCCACCCATATAGAATTCATTTGACATAGAAACCCGTAGCTAACATGTCTCTGCAGCTCTTGGGGGGGTTTCTGTACATACAGTATGATGTGTTGCTACAGTAACAGATAGGAACCGGTGGCCTGTTTAGACTAGCAGTCCGATCCCATTTAATATTCCTGTCATGATGGAGCTGATTTAGGTTCTTCTAGTTTGGCCTCAGGCCATGAAACTGTAGCATCAGACTGAGCGAAATGCAGGATAAAAGAACAACATGCCCTCCTTCTCGTACACATGGGAGGTGTGGATAAGTTTTGGTTTATTGTTGGCTCAGTTTGAAGAGGGCTTTCACTCGTATTTGTATATTAGTACCTTCACACTGCCAAAAATACAACAGAGCAGATGTCAAACCAAAATAACTGTTTATTAACAAAAAATGTAAAATCCACTGAGATGACAAACTGTGGCAGTATTCCATAATTGAATGATAATAATTTGGTAAGAAAATGCTCAGTTTGCTTTATTTTGTCTGGAGAGGGATTTCCTCACAGGATCAATTAGTATAATATTTGTTTATTCAAATAATTTGGCAAAATATGGAAGCCTTGCTGTGTCTTTGTTGTTAGCTTGTTATTATTATTATTACCTGTGTTCAACTGGCCTGTCCGCTCGCACACATACAGCTGTGATTTATCAAAGCTGCTTGGCTTTCAGTGGATGCTGCTTCCTGCGAAGCTGCTAAAACAAACATTGTTGTCAGAGCGCCACTCCAGCACAGCATGCTGTGTCTGCATGTGGTTATTAACAAACGTGTTGTTCCATATAAAATGTGCCTAAAAAGCATAACAGAATTCACTGTCACTAGGAAATGGCATTTTTGAGTGGTGTCTTTCACAATTGTGGTTAAAATTG